TCCTGACCAGGACGAGGGCTCAGGGCCCCCCCTCATTTCTGCACTTAGAAACAGAAGGGGCTGGGAGCCCACTGGTCTTCAGGGGAGCACTGGAAACCAGGGATGGGAGTGTATTGTTGTGTGAGAGGGGACACCATCACTAGTAGAAAACTTCATAGTCACGAAGGGGATCTTAGTGGGCCCTGCTCCTTGGCTGAAACCTCTCCAAGCTGTGAGCATCTCACCTCAGCATAGATGGTAGAAATCTCCTGTGGGAGAATTGGGTCAGGATGAGGAAGCAGATGTAAGACAGAGCATGAGAAAAGAGCAGGGATCCCAACTCACTTTTCTCCAGAGTGAACTCAGCAGGCTTGGCTGTGGGGGACAGAGAAGCCCTCAGGGCAGGGCATCCATGCTCACTAGCACAATCCTCCCAACCTCCTTCTTGCCTCTGTCTTCCTCTGGAGAGCATGGACCCAGCCCAGGGAGATCCCTTTACTTACCCTCAATCTGGAAGCAGATGGAATTAGTAATCGTGAAGCCTGGATTCTAGACCTAGTTGGAGCACACACCACCTGTGTGACTTAGGCCAGTCACTGAGCCTCTGAATCTCAGCTTCCTCAGCAAAAAAGTGTGGTGGTAATAATAACTACCTCACAAATTGGTTAATGGATATGAAGAACGATTATGTATTGTAGTGATGAATAGGCTAATGATTCTGATTTGACCATCACATATTGTACACAAGTAGTGATAGTCAACTCTGTACCCCACAAATATGTGTGATCAATTAAGTTTCAATAAAAAAATTAAAAATAATGACTACCTCACAAGGATTATAGTGAGAACAAAGAGAGACCAAAGTGTAAAAGATGCTTTTAAATTAACTACTACATTAGACCCCTACTAAATACCAAGCAATCTTTTAGGTATGAGGATTACATTTATTATCTGTAGTCTCACATCGATCTGACAATGTAGGGATTATTGATTCCTTCCTATATTGGGATGAGAAAACCAATGCTCAGAGAGGTTGACAACTCTCCACAGTCAGTTCCATAAGAGGTGGAGCAGTGGGTAAATAGGAACCGTGAAGCACTCTACCCTGACAGAAGATCCAGTATCCTCTTTCCTATGCATCTTGGAACATAATGGCCTCTCATTACTTCAGGTTCCAAATCCCCTCAACCACACACCAGGAAAGGCTGCTTAGAGCAGCATGTGTTGGAAGCAGATTGCCACCTCCCCTCCTCACCCCCAAATCATGCCTTCACCTTTGTTGCCCTGTTAGGATTAAAACATTCCCATTTCCTTATTTTACCAATGAAAACCATACCATTGTGAGGTTGGCTTATTTTTCTCTTTCTTACGTTTAAGTTCTTTTTGTGACTCTTCTCAGGAAGCAACTGCATCCATGTGTGCTTTTCCATGTGCCCTGGCAATGCTTTGGGCAGTAACTGGCTAGGTCCTGGGGGAGCCACCCCTGAGTCAGGGGTCCCCTTGGCTGTTCTCTTCCCTAGTGCCCTTTATGGGAAGGGGCACAAACCGCTGGCTGATTCAAACCCATTGGTACAGACCGGGAATCGGAATAGAGCAAGTGAGACATTAAAAAGCAACAGGAACAACAAAACCCCCCGTTTTGGGCATGTATTATGTGCTTGACAATTTTTGAGGTTTGTTTCTAGAATCTAGGTTCCATTCCTAACAACTTATAGTAGTCTCACAAAGTAGGCATTATATCCACTTTATAGATGAGGTTCAGAGCGTTCGCATGACTTGCCAAGTCACACAGTGAGTAAGTACCTAGAGTCGGGTTTTAAGCTCAGTTTAGACTGACTCAGAAACCCACACTTCCCACGATGCCACGTTGCCTTTTTCTCTGTTGGAGGACTAGCCTTCCCTCATGTCTGCCGTCCTGACTCTGGACAGCTGTGGTTGGAGCTCATGATCTTTGTGACTCTGTCTTACAGCTGGGACTGTCCTGTTTAGATTCAGACTCTGCAGCAAAGGCAAATGGCATCATTCTTTTTTCTCTCTCCTTTGTCCTTCCACAGTGCTGAACAGGGCAAAAACTCCCTGCAGTTATCACGGTACCAGTGGTGGTGAAGAGGATGTTGAGATTGGTGATTGTGGAGGTCACAGTGCTGGTGTAGTGATGGTGGTAGTGAAGGAGCAGGTGGTGGTGGGCATGGTGGCAGGCATGGTGGTGTGGATGATGGTGGGGAAGGGGTGGTGACAGTCATGGTGGTAGTGAATGGACAGCTGGTGGTGGTGAGGAAGGTGGTGTTGGTGACTGTAGTAGTGGTGGTGGTGATAATAAAATAGTAATGATAGTTTGTACTGATAATCTCATCCTAGGTCCAGAACTTCTCCTTGGCAAAGCTTGGCCTAAGGTCACTTACCTTCACTCCTCTTTGAGGCTGTACATGCTGCAGAGGAGATAACATCTTTATCTTTCTTTTTGGTGATGCACTAGAATAAGAAATGAGGCTTAAATAGACCCACCCCCCACTGCCAGTTATCACCGTGACTCTCCCAACTTGAGCCATGAAGACACTTAGGGAGGGAAGCCAATCAGGGTGTCATGGTGATAACTGGCAGTGGGGGTTGGTCATCAATGCAGGAACATCCATCTTGGCAGGAGGTGCCTGTCCACCTCAGGAGATTCTTGCAACTTCCCTAGCCCTGACACTGTTTAAACCAGAGGTTGGCAAAATTTTCCTATAAAAAAGATAAATATTTTAGGCTTTCTGGCCCATATAGTCTCTGTTGCAACTGTTCAATTCTGTAGTGTGAAAGTAGCTACACAGAATAGATAATCGAATAAGTGTGGCTGTGTTACAACAAAACTTTATTTATAAAAATAGGCAGTGGGCCAAGTTTGGCCCATGGGCTATAGTTTGCCAACTCTTGGTCTGAACCCTCCCTGCCCTCCCGACCTGCCTCCCTCACCCACCACCAGCTCCATAGCACCTCCTCCATCTGGAGCTGGGGGCAGATTCTGGGATGGAAGGGGCCCTAGGAAATAAAAAGGCACAATTCACTGAGCACCCCCGAGAGATCAGATGGGTCAGCGGGGACAGAGAGGCTATGAGGAAGAATGACAGCGGAGGCTGCTGGAGGTCTGATGCTGGTTTGTTTATGACGGTTAATTCACAGGTCTGGACATGGTTAATTTTTATGGGATATTTCCTTTGAAAAACACCAAGGGTAGGATGGCTCCATGGGAATCACAAACTGGGAGAAAGTAGGGTCAGAAACGATTAGTCACACCCTTGCATGGAAAGGGCCCAGGCTCACCAGTCAAGCTGCTTTTCAGATAGAGGAAAAACTAATAACTTTGACCACACACTGTGTGCCAGATACGAGGCTGGGCAATTCCGATAAAATGTATCCTTTCTAGTAAAGCACCTAACCCAGTGACCAGCACATAATTGGATCTCAAAGAAGCCTCCATTCCTAATTCTTTGGTGTCTGATATTCTTTGCAACCATCTCACAAAGGTTGAAATTATTATCTCCATTTTATAGATGAGGTGACTGAGGCTGGGAGAGATGACTCCCCTAATGTCACAGTAAGTGGTGGGGACAGAATCTTAATCCAGGTTTGTATGCCTTTTCTCCTCCAGCGCGCTGCCTCTGTGATAGCAGGTGTTTCTAAAGCTTCAAAATTAACTCCTGGGATAGGAATTGTGTCCCATCTGGATTTTAGAACACCCGGTTCATGCCTAGTGCTCAAGATATACTCATTAGCTCTCACAGCAAGAAAGCATCAGAATCACTGGGTAGGATCTGTAGAAATGGATTCGCCTGTAAAACCAAGAGGGCATTTATGGAGACTCAGACAGGCCCCTGACTATTAAACATTCCCAAATACTCATTTGTCAGGACTGTGTTTCTGAGTCTTCATTCAGTGAAGAGTTCTGCTAATTTGATGGAACTTTGTTTTATGGGACGTGTGACAACAGGTGGTAAAATGAACACTTTAAAACAAACACCAGAACTTGTACATCTAGGTGAAGGTCACAATGGCTGCTTTGAAGTGGACCCCTTGCACGACCACATCCTGTTCCAGTGACACTATCGTTGGTCAAAATGTTCTGAAAATTGCCTTCAGACAGTTAGTCTGTTGAATGTCTTTGGTGGTGGTATATCTTTTGCTGTTGTTGGTGAAGAATGGATATGCTGTCTGGACATGGTTACGTCTTCCAGGGCTGGGTATGGACAATAAGGCTGTAGATCTGGCTGTTTTCCTTGTGTGGCTATGGAACTTGGCCTAAAAGTGGCATTCTGAGTGATGTTTTAGAGAATATTTTGTGCCTCTGAGATTCTGAGACATCAGGACCCCCACCAGGAGTCCCGTTTGCATGAGAGTCAGGCTCCTTAGTAAAACAGAGCCCACCTGCTCCAGGGTTGGCAGTGGGAGTTACAGTGGTGGTGGTGCAGAACCTCCACACGAAGAGAGATGCTCTTTTGTTCTCCTGTGAAAGGGATCTTCGTCTTAGGATCTTTCACTCGCTCCCCCACTGTCTTGTCTGGGGCTGGGTAGGGAGGCAGTTGTGCTGTGTTGGGTGGTGGCCTCCGTCCTGCAGGGTGTGACCCTCTTTGTAGGAGAAGAGGATCCTAGAGGCCAACCTCTGGGGTCACTGCTTTTCACCATTGTGGTCTCCATGGACAGAGGCTGGTTGTCCTTAGAGAAACAAAGGAGTTCTCCATCTTTGTGGAACTTCACCTGGGACAGTGCTGCGTGCTTCCTTCCCTGGCACCCCAGAGCCAGGGCATCTCCTCCAAACACGGGGTTTGGCCAGGTTTGGAGGCACAGCCAGACTGTGAGACACAGTCCTGGAGCTGCAGGTCCTGTCAGTCCACTTTTCTCCTTCTGTCCCAAGGCTAAGGCCTCTGGCTGGGGATGGAGGCTCCTGGGCAGCACCTTCGCAGCTGTCACTGTCGCCACTCCCTCGTGCCAGACCGGGACAGGGAAGGACCCTAGTTTCTTCGCTCTCCTTCCTTTTATGTCTTTCTTTCTTCTCTTTCTTTTTGCTCCTTTTTCCTCTCTATTCCCCCCTTTCCACCTCCCACCCCCACCCCGTGCCTTCCTCCCTCCCGCCCTCCTCGTCTCCCTTCACACTGCACTTCCTCCACCCCCCACCACCTTGCCAAGCTTGGCTTAAATTGGGTTCATTCCATCCATCATCTTGCCTCATTGCTCCTGACTCAGTTCCCAATCCCCTAGATCGGCTCATATCCTCAGTCCCAGACAGTCTTAGGAGCCAGGACTGATGGCCAGAGGGGAATGACAAGTAATCAGTCAGGGATCCATAAGGCAAGCCCCCCAGTACATCCTGCCTTTGCCTGGATCTTTCTGGATCCTTAGGACCTCCTCCCCTCACCCTGGAAGTAATGATACTCACAGGGTTACTGAACGATTGGCCTTGCTGCCACAACTGCTCTTTCAAGCAGCACTACGTAGTGGTTTGAATTCCTTCCCCTGGCTTCACAGGATGTGTCCTTGGAGGTCAAGAGGCTCACAGGGCAGAAAGTTCCATGGAGGTCAGTGGGACAGGACAAGCTGGAGGGCATGGGTAGCCGAGGAAGAAAAGAGGACTGACCAACAGACAAAGGTGCCTGCTTCTCCCAAAATAAAAGGGAGGGAGTCCAAGCCTTATTGAGTGGAGAATACAGGAGCTCCAGAGCCACAATGATAGGAGAAGACAGAGGCACTTCTAAGGGAATAGAATAGAGGCCCAAAACCACTTTGCTGAAGCTTGAGTCACCCTAGGACCACCCTCAATCTTAGTCTAGTGGAGTTCCAGATTTCTTTTCCTGGGCATTGGCCAAGACTGAAGGAGATGGCTAGTTAGGCTCTGCAGATGTTTCTGGAGGACCCAATGGCTCTGCTCTGTCCCCATCCATTAAGTTCTGGCCCAGAGACAATTCTTGGAGTCAGAAGAGACATGGGCAAGACTTACTTGTTTTCCCAACACAGGAAACTGCAAGAGAACAAGGTGATATAATTAAGTTAAGAAGCAGAAAAAACTTTCTGACAGGGAGAACTGTAACTTCAGCAATGTGTGCTTACATTCATTCAACTAACCAGTCACCCAACAACCCAGCCACCCAACCATCCAAACATCCAACCACCCAACCATCCAAATATCCAACCACCAAACACCCAACCACCCAGTCACCCAAACATCCAGTCATCCAACCACACAACCATCCAACCACCCGACCACCCAACCATCCAACCACCCAACCATCCAAATATCCAACCACCAAACACCCAACCACCCAGTCACCCAAACATCCAGTCATCCAACCACACAACCATCCAACCACCCGACCACCCAACCATCCAACCATCCAATCATTCAGCCATTCAACCAGTAACTTCTATGGTGGACCCTTTCCCTGGAATCCTCTGCCCTATCTCAGTTCAAATGTTGCCTCCTCAGAGAAGTCTTCCCTGGGACCCGAATCAGAAGAGTTTTCTCAATCACTATCACAATGCCTTATTGTGTTATCATCAGAGCACTTAACACTATTTGATTTTATCTTATTCATTAAATTGCTTATATATTATTATCTGTCTCCCTCTGTCTAGAATGTAAGCTGCATGGGAGAAGGGACTCTGTCTATATTACTCATTGCCATATTTTCTATGCACAGGATCAGTGCCTGGAACATAGTCTTTGTTCAATAAGCATTTGTTAAGTAAATGCATGAATGCTTTCCTTTGTGTCCAGTTGTGTGGGGTGGGGATTAGACTCTTGCACTAATATACCTGAGGGTCCCACCTCCCACACCTACAGGAGAGCCCACATAGCAAGGGCAGGACCTGATTCCCGTGGTCCAATCTGTCCACCACGCTCTGGGGAATAGAATATGAAAGTGGCCAGACTGAGGAGGCAAGGCTCCCTGGAAGAGTAGTCATTAAAGGATGTGGGACTTGGTCAGGCAGCATGGATGAATGAGAGAACTACAAACAAGCCTGATGCATCACACGCCATGCCTGCAATTTGTATGCAGTGCATTAATGCTTTAAAATGAATGAACGTTTGAGGAGAATATGTGGCCTGGAAAGAAAGGCCAAGCCACAAAATGATGACACATATAGCTAGGCAGGTTTGAATAGCCCAAGGGATAGAGGACCCTAAATTAAGGGGCATAGTCAGATATGAAGCAGTGGAGAGTATTCTGGACTTTGGGGCAAGGGGTGAAGCAGTGAATGGTTATAGGGCTGAGTGAAGTCAGTCCAGCCAATCCTCATCACTGTGTCCTTCATTGCTGACACGTCCTAGGTGCTGTGTGGGACACTGAGAAATGCAGGAATGGCTTCGGAGGGGTAGGATTTCAACTCAGAGCAGATGTTTGGCATGTTCAGTCACAGGCTGTTGTCCTTGCTGTCCACACTACTTTGGACACAGATAGAGCCTTTCAGCTTAATTCTCTACTCAGCTCAGGGTCATCTGAGTCATAGGTTCTTGAGTGTGTATATAAGAATCTCTTTCTTATCATTCCTCCATCCCTCCATCTCCTCTCCTTCCCCATCTATGAGCCCGGTGTAGTGGAAAGCATGCAGGATTCGGATTCAGATGACCTGGACTGGACTCATATGTCTACCTCTTTCTGTGTGAACTTGGATGAGTTGTCTAAACTCCAGGAGCCTCCAATTCCACATTTTGTTGTATTTTATAATAGGAATGATAGTAGTAATTTTTTTCCTTCCAGGGTAGTTGTGAAGATTATATTGACCCACTGCCTGAAAAAGTGGTTACTACATTAACTGGAAGCAGAAAGAAGGCTGACCCGGGGGTGACTGAGACCTTACTCTGGTTGTGTCTCCCAGCTCCTCCCCCACGTCACCAGAAAACAATTTTGCAGCTACAAAGTGCTGAACAAACAGGATTGAGGGTACCATAGCCTACAAGAGAGAAGGCATCCAGAGTGCATACAGCCACTTCAAATGAGCTCATGTCTCCAAGTCCTGATGACTCGCTGACCGTGGTACTGCAAGACCTTAGAGTTGTGATTGCAGAAGCGCTTTCTGTAATCAAGACGGTAGCCACTGGATACATACAGAGTGGACGATACCTGCTCACAGCAGTGCCTGCAAAGAGGGCCTGGAGACCTCAGTGAGCTATAGGCTGAAGATGAGGTGACAGTGTGGTGAGGTGGCCAAGGGCTGTTGTCAAACTAAGTTGCATAACAGAGTTCTGAACAATGGAGGCTGCACCCCTGACCTCTGCACTGGTCAGGCCACTATGGAGAGAGGAGAAAGTCCAGCTTTGGGCACACTGATGAAGCACAGCAAGACAAGGCAGATCAGGATGAGGAACAGGGTCAGGAAACCATTTTCAATTAGAGTTGCTGAAGGGTGGGGAGATACTCATCTGGGAAAGATACAACAGAGTAGGAACACGAGTGGTCTTCAAGCACTTGGTGAGCTAAGCTCAGAAGAATGGAGGGACTTATTCTAAGGTACTTTGTAGGGCAGAAGTGAGACTAGTTCATGGAAATTAGAGGGTTCAGGGAGGCAGATTTCAGTGCAATATGATGAATTATCTCTGCATTTGGGCTCTACCGTGATGGAATGTGCTGCTTTGCCAGGCTGGGCTGCCACGCTGCTGGGAGGACTGTGGAGGCCCTGTGACACCTGCCATGGACACTGTGTATGTGGTGGGCAGGTTCCAGTGATGGGAGGAAAATTGGCTAATGTTTGGTGCAGAAGAAAATTAAGGTTCATCTCCCAAACTTTAAATACATATTTAGTGTTCAGCCATGTACCAGCATGTTCAACGTCAGGGCTCCTAGCCTTCTCGATCCCTGAAAGCCAATAACAGTAATAGCCACCAATTATTGTGACCACACCCTGCTAGGCATTTTAAAAAAACTATTATTTTCCAGTTTTGCCTGGTTAGAATCTGATTCCAGCCAGACTAGGGTTGGTGTGGTGTGATGGCGAAAGTGTGGGATTTGACATCAGATGGACTTGGATTTTCATCTCTGCTTTGCTCTTGTTAGCAGGGTAATTCCAGGCAAATTTCTTAATCCTTTTGAACCTCAGTTTCCTCAGTTGTTTAATAGGGATAAAAATACCTGTCTATAATGTTCTGAAGATTAGATGAGATGTAAAGTAGGCATTTGATGTTTTTTTTTTGGTTTTCTCTGTCTCTCTGTCCACATCTGAGAGGAAATAACAGCTGTGCACTTATGATAACTGTTCCTGCACACCCAGCCCTGGGGTCTGTGTCTTAGGTTGTTTATCTGGGGTCCCTGAGCAAGAGCGGATCTCCTGGTTCTCTGTTCAGCCGGTCGATGACTGCCTCCGCCCTCTTCCATTGCTGTCTGCCATCCAGATCCTGGGTCCTAAGCTGAGATGCTCTTGGACTTCATGTAGACAAGTTCAAGGGCTGTTCCTTTGACAAGGTAGTGCAGTATGCCTGTGGGAACCTTTCATCTGGAGTATATCCAGGCACTAGCCCATCCCTTCCCTGCATTAGTGTGATTGTTAGACCTTCTCACTTGTCCAAGCGGCCATTCACAGAATACACGGAGTAGCACAGTGATGTTGGGGAAGGAGAAACGCTAAGTGGAACAGCCATTTTCCTCATGGGGCCAAATTTCCACAAACTCTGTCCAGGAAGAGATCATATATTTAGGAACAGTTTTGCTTTTCTTGTTCAGTGAAAACAAACCACAAACAAACTATTGAGACTAAGTTTAAAACAAAACGTAGGACTCAGAACCTGTAAAGGGAAATAAGATTTATGTACAAATTGTTTCCTTTAGGTGTAGCAGGGTGACACTGGCTGAGACGGAGCTGAATTTGGGAAGCCCAGCGACTGTCCCCCCCAATCCTCTACCCTTTGGCTGGCTCCTTCAGTCACCTGCGCGAGTGACTGGCATGAGGAGAAGTGGCGAGAAGTGAGAGGTGGGGCTCAGAGAGAATGGGTGTGATTCTTAAGTCATCCCCTAAAACCAGTCAGACCTTTAACTCCCCCACCCCCTAGCAGAAATAGGATGTAGGCAGAAGAGGAATGGTCAGTTTGAAATGGTCTCTCTCCGGTGCCCCCAGCAGCCTCCTTTCCTTCTATAACTTATTTTCCTTTTGAGACAGCTCTGATGGATATTTTAACCTGCTTTCACAGTGTAAAAATGTCATGGGGAAGCAAAGGGGCCACAGAATGTGATTTTCTGCCTCCCTAATTTATCTCTGACACATGGAAGGACTGCCCTGCCTAAAGCCCAGGAAGATGGGATAGGAAGCCTCGAGGAGTCCCCCACACCCCGTGCGCACCTCTCCCAAGCATGCCCTTCCTTGGGTGAGCACTTGTCTCAAGCTCCAGCCACAAACTCACTTGAATTGGGAAGGGTAAGATCAGGGTCTTTGTGTCTCAGGAGTGACTTACAGTGTTTAGGGTCACAGGAGGAGATGCCCATGCTTGATGACTTATGAAAAGCAGCACAACCCTCCAGAGCAGCAGGGGGCCTGTCCTGGCGCAGAGGAGGGAAATAAAGGTTAGACTGCAGGCAGAGGTGAAGCTGGAGGCAGAGCATCCAGGCCTCAGCTGACCCCTCTGACCCGGGTGGTGTTATAGCTTGATAGTTTGAAAAGAGGAAGTGGAGAAGAAACTTTTGAAGCTCAAATTGGTGGTTCCTTTTTGGTTGAAATAGTATGACATGAATGAATTTTCCAGAACATGAATCATGGAGATCTCAAATAAGTCACTAATAAGCACTTTCTGGCACTCGTGATTTCAAAAAGCTCATGCCAGGGAACCAGGATGGAACATGGCTATGGGAAATCTGCATTAGGAAGATCCAGAGACTGCTGGAATTGCTTGACTGGAAATTTTTAAGATCATTTACCTCTCACCCCCGAGTGACCTCCAGTTCTCGGAGGCATGCCCCTGTCCTCAGAGATAGATGTGTGTGTACACTGCAATGAGATGGAGAAGGGGAATCCTGAGCATGGTCCACAGGGCCATCAATTCAGGAGGGAATCTAGGTTGGATGAGGTTGGAGTAGCATGGGGCTGAAGGTTCTGAATATGAAGCTTTAAGACTGTCAGGTTATTGTTTTAGAAGAACCGTTCATTAAAAGACACTATTAAGAGAGTGAATAGGCAAGCCATGGGGTGATGATATTTTCAATACATACAGTTGACAAAGGACTAAAATATAAGAACTTCTGCAAGTTAATAGGAACAAGACAGACAACCTACTAGAAATATAGGCAAAATAATTGGATAGATAATTTACAAAAACATATATCCAAGTGCCAAATAAACACAGGAAAAGGAGCTTGACATCATAAATCAGTGTGGAAGGGCCGATTTAAGCCACAGCGAGATACCACTATTACCACCACAGCAGGCTCGGCTTGCCCTCTCACATTAAACAAACGACTCAAAAGTCCAGAAGTTGGTGCAAGGATTACAAAGTTTATTCAGATTACCAGCATCTGAGGGATGACCAGGCTAAAGTCATCCCACCTTCTGAGGCCTGTTCTGGGGTTTATAAAGGGGAAGAGGCAGGGAGATGAGGTAAGGTTCTTTGTTCTGAAAACAAAGGGTCGGGGGAGTCTGGGAGCAACAGATGGTCTGAGTCAAATGTCAGGGTCCCCAATGGATTGGGAACTTCAGTGTCACAGAGTCTGTGGTCAGCTTCAAGTCCTTGATGTTTTCTTGAGGTTGGAGTCCTTATCTCCTAGAGAGAGCTCAAGGATAATAACCTTACTCAAACATCATAAAAATACCTGACTTGGACTTCTAATTAACATGGATGCAGTTTTCCTTTAAGTAAGAGGGGGAGTTTGCAACCAGCTAGGTTGTCTTGCCTCTCTCACATATCTCCTCTTATTTGCAGCTGATTAGAGAAGTAAGAAAAATAAGAAACTTAGTTTTAGTCCTTAATTGTAGGTGCACAACCTCTGAAGTAAACCAACATAAGAGGGGTGATTTCATCTCCGGGTGTCTCTCAGTTCTTCTGCTAACGTCAAGGAATTGATGATTATCAGTCCCCAAGTTAAGGGCTGACTGATATGTTCTGCTTGGTCTTAGTTACCCCAAAGATGGTTGTTTTTCTGGCTAAGGTCCCTTTCAGTGCTACACCTGTCATGAGAATGGCCGAAACTATAAAGATAGACACCTGAGTGTTGGTGAGCATGTGAAGCACTAGAACTCTTGTACACCCCCAGTGGGAATATAAATTGGTCAAAACACTTTGGAAAGTGGCCTGGCAGAATCTACTAAACTTAAACATATGGATATCTGATGTCCAGCAACTTCACTCCTGGGTATATATCGAACAAAAATGCATATGTATGAACATCATAAGACATGTACAAGAGTGTCCATAGCAGCATCATGTGTAATAGATACAAATTGGAAACTACTCAATGGTCCCTCAACAGAGAAGGAGGCCACACATCCCATCTCCTTTGAGGACAGAACATGTGAGTTAAGGTGACACATGGAGGAGGTTGGGGAAATACTAGAAAGCACATTTTGAGGTTTTTTTTTTTTTTTTTTTTTTTTTTTTTTTTTTTT